ACACCGAGCAATCGTAAGAAATAAATGACGTCACTGGTGGAAGTCCATGATGCTAACCAAAGTGTGGGCGTACTGACGGGTGCAACAATTGTCGTGGAAATTAAAGTTACGTGACTGTTCCTCGTTATTCGACACGCACAAGTCACAACTGCAATTAGATGAATCTCGATAAGATGACTAATGGACATCGACATACACCTTCATGAACTAGACAGGTAAGGGGGATGCCCAACCGATTTCCGTGGGATACTTAGATATCTCTAACAATGAAGACCAGGGACACGCAAGGAAGTATAAGATTGATGCTAGCCGAAGAGGAGGTATGTTGCAGCACTTCTATGTGCTTCTAACTCTCTGATACGTCGAAACCTGCTTGGACTGGGATAGTCCCTCGTTGAAAGGAAATAATTTAAGATAGTTGAGCAAATAGAACGCCATAAGACGCCCAACAGAGAGGTGAGTTCATTCAGAAGACAGAGAGCCAGACAGGGGCGAGGGAGCACCCCGCCGAAGGTGAGTGACAAATACGAAGATGATAGAAGATAATAGATATAAGGCGAAGGGAGCAATACCGCCGAGATGAGGTAAGTCCACCGGGAAGGATCGCATCATGTATCATTCATGACGCTAATGCGCTTGAACACACATCTGCAGGACAGAATTCCACGGCGTCGGATAAAATTGCAGGATAGATTCAGTCATGGAGTCTTCGAGTCACACCGGTCAATGATTCAAAGGCGCCACTTGCGGGTGCCATGACTGCATGAGAGTACTGAGTAGGTACCTGTCTATGAGCCCAGTGAGACTGCGGTCGTCGGGGCGGCAGGGGTTGTGTCCACCGGTTCGTTGAGTGAAAACGCGTAAGACGGTCTCTCACAGAAGGGCTGCAAGGGTCAGTAACCAACGTCCGGCCGCGGATATTTTTAGTAGGGAGACAGAGACGTGCCGTGAGCGGCAGAGGATGACGAACCAATCATAGTCACCGAGGAACGCTAATAACTGACGCTACCCTCGTCATATCTTTAGACAAGTAATCGGGATCAAGTGATGTAGGTGTTCGAGGGTTAAGTGGGCCGAGATGGGCCAAGGGAGGGTGCTAGGACGGGCACCAAGAGATCCAAGGTTACAGTAGGGCGCAATAAGTCGTTGTGAGGTAAAATTGAGACAATAATTAATTTTTTTCCTTACGTTTAGCACGGAATCCAAAAAAAAGCAAATCTTACGTTTATGGCACTTCTATGCACCGCTGGAGGGAGTAGACTTATCGCTGGGAGGGACCGAGAGGTCAACTCGGAAGGAAATTCATCGTAGCGGGATGGGCGTTGTATGAAAGGAAGTGTGCGTCGGTGAAAGATTGATGTACGCGTCGGTAGAATAAGGACCAGCGGGAGATTTGACCCTCAGCATAAAGGTGACCTCAAACGGGGATGTGATTTTTTTTGGAATAGGACAAAAGGGGGAGAAATAGAAGGATTGATTCGTATTTTACCCTAATCAGACGGTGGCTAAGGGCTGACCCTTACGGGAGGCATCAAAATTGTTGATAGGGGGAGACTTCCACATCCCAAATTTCCTTACGATGCAGACACCATCCCAGGCAGGAAGACTATATGTTGACAAGCGACAAGCCAGCCTCATTATAAATATTGTTTGTGACGAGCCCCAGGCGCAAGGAACGGTGGCGGAAAGGAATCGGTCAGCTTGAAACCAACGGACCGATCATCAATTGAAAATGGATGTGCAATTACGTTTGAACAAGAGAGAAGTCAAACAGCAAGAAAAATCAACTCGTTAATCAACCATTTGAGGATCTACCAGTCGAAAACACTCACCTGAGGTTGTTCCAGAGCACGGCGCAGGTCGGCAACCATCTCGGAAAGAAAAACACCCCCGATGAACGAAATTTTATTAAAACAATATTTTTTTTGAAAACATACTCCCCACCGCTTCCGGACCCCCTGGGGGCACAATCACACTCGTGGCGCCCAACGTGGGGCAATGGCTTTGTTGCATGCAACATGAAATCAGCAGAGTTGCACATACCCGAACCCCAAGAAAAAAAATCAAGTTCGAAGACTGGAGAAGCTATGGAGAGGAAACACGTTGTATGCACTAGCTATGAAGACAGGATATCATCCAACAAGTCCTGAGGCGCTACGACCCAGAGGAATTGCAATCCAGTTGCATGCAACATGCAATCAACAGAGTTCCATATACCAGAAGCAAGAAAGAAAGAAAACAAGATCGAAGACTTGAGACGCTGCGAAGGAGTAAGATATTACAACTAGGGAGATTGTCGGAGCCCAATGTTCAGGAATATTGCAGCCTTGTTGCATGCAACACGCATTAAAAGCTGCATCAACCCAAACCTAAGAGAGGAGGAAGCTAACGACGAATAGAACGCAGAAGTGCTACAATACATCATTCAAGAGGGTGACGGCCAAGTGAGCACAATTGATTTGACTGTCCGAATAATTGCAACCCATTACGCACAACCAGCATGAAGTATTATTGCATAGACAAGAGCCCAAAAAAGGAACAAGATCGAAGACAGGAGGAATTGACAGCAGAGCAACGCGCCGAAGTCAAAAGGAAACACTTGTAGGAATGAATCCAGAGTGCAAACAAAACAAAGGCTACAAATTGGTCATTCACAAAACAATTTAACGCATACATGCACACATATGTATTTATTGAATCCACATTACCACAAGAGCAGGATCAAGGATGGAAGAGATCAATGCATATGTTGCGTCGATACCAAGAAGAAGGTCACTAAAGAAACCCTTCTGTGTATTCCAGGATCATGGAGCGATCCAGGATGATCGGATCGGTGGACAACTTCGACGGTCAGCAGAACCTACAAGAATGGATCCAAATGGTCAACAGGGCAGCAGAGTTCGCCGGCTGGACCGACGACGCGACGTTCAAGGCAGCCATGTTCCGTCTGCGGGGTGAGGCCGGTGAACACGCAGAGCAGCTGAAATCCGAAGGAAAGATCACATCATGGCCGGAGCTTCAGGTGGCACTGAAAGACCGCTTCGAGACAGCAGGAAAGGAGCAGTGGCATCAGTTCCTCCTCAACACGGGCACCCAAGGCTCAAAAACCGTCCAAGAATGGGCCCAAACGGTGCGCATGTTGTCGCTGAGGGCTCTGGGATCGGAGCCCTTGGGCATAAAGGAAGAAGGAGAGGAACCAATGACTGCGGACCAGAAGCTGATCGCCGAGACTGCCCAAAAGGAAGCAAGAAAAAATCTCTTGGACTTCATGAGAAGGACCAACTTCGTCAGGGGACTAAGGAGCAACCTACGTCAGATGGTATGGAGGAGGAAATGTAAGACGTTCGACGATGCAGTTAAAACCGCAGCGGAAGAAGAGACAGTGGAGGCCAGCCACCGGGAGGAGGAAGTCCTAAGCTGCTATGTGAAAGGATTTCCCGAGCCTACAACGACCGGACTAGTCGAGAAAATCGTAGCCGCGCTGGAGATGCGAGAGGAAGAACGAAAGGAGAAGAAAGAAAAGGGATCAGAAGCATCTAGGACAAAGAAACAAAAGCCCGGACCCGCTGGTGCAACCGAAAGATCAGAAGACGAATACGAGGGAGACGAGGACGAACAAGGGGGAGCGCGCCGAAAATACTATCCCAACCGAGCGATGCCCCGTCCCAACGGTAACTCTTCTGATGCCAGGCCTCAATACCGGGAACAACTGCCCCTCCCAAGGCAAGCCCGATTCCAGAACGGTCCGACCACCGCACGGGAATGGCGGCGCGCCGAGCCCCAGAATGGCAGGAGGTTCGGCGGCTACGACAACCAGGCCAGGCGGGAGAGGGACTTGACCCTGAACCTGTGCTTCAACTGCCACCGCCCGGGACACCGGGCCTTCGAGTGCCCTACCAGCCAACGCCAGCAGGGAAACGGGTACCGCCGGCTGTATTAGGGGACCAGCCGGCGACGAATGGACGAAACGCCCCTTCGATCCACCTAGAGGAGGAGGTGACGACCGATCACGTCATCGAGACCAACTACGTAGCGCCGTCAACATCACGAGATGCTAACCAACACATCAAAACGTGCACCTGTCGAGCGAGGATCCAGGGAAAACCGGCACTGGTTCTAGTGGACACTGGATCTATGGTCACCATCGTGAGATCCTCACTCATCGGACATCATGAACAGCAAGCCTCCCAAGCAGTGGGCGTGGTCCTTCGGTCCGCCTCAGGTCATGTAATACCGGTCACCCAAGAAGCAGCAGTGGAATTCGAGTTAGGAAGAGAAAGGAAGAAACACGACGCTTTTATGTGTACAGAGCTTCACTATGACGCCATAATCGGATTTGACTTTATCCAAAAGAACAACATCGTCATCGACGCAGCCAACAGAACACTCTGGCTCTCTCCAACCAACAAAATCAAACTGGAGAACGGGAAAGATGACACCCCAGAAGAGAGCGTGGGCCTCTACCTAACCAGCATCGGAGACACAGTAGACCAAGTTGAACGGTCCCAGACGGAAAAGGAACGCCCCAAGGATACAACTCGAGCAACCAGTGACCGGGGAAAATCAAGCCGTGCCACAAGAAAGCCAGCAGGTGAGCAGAGCCGTCAGCAACGGGGACAGGATCAGCCCGGGAAAAATCGCCAACAAGCGGACCAACCACCCAGGCAATCCACCACCCAAGAGGAAAACGTTGAAAGCCACGAGCAAAAACTGCCAACAACGAAAGGCTCAAGCGGTCAACACATCAGCGAAGAAAACACCCCAACGTCTGCCACAGCAGGAAGGAAAGAAGAAAAAAAGATCTGGAGATCCTCGATACCGGAACGCTGAACCCGGAGCAAAGAAAACAACTGCAAAACTTGATCGAAGAACATTCGAAATGCTTTTCCTGGAACGGAGAACTGGGGACCTGTGAACTTATCGAGCACCGGATCGAGCTGACCTCCAACAAACCAATTCGAAGACCTGCCTACCAAGTAGCGCAAACACAAAGAGAGTTCATGGAAACAGAAGTTCGGGACATGCTGGAAAAAGGGGTAATTGAGCCATCGGTTTCACCCTACGCGGCCGGAGTGGTGCTGGTACCCAAGAAAACAGGTGAACTACGGTTCTGCGTCGATTATCGAGGGCTGAATGAGGTCACAAAACCCGACCACTACCCACTCCCGGTAGCACACAACGAGATCTTCGACACGTTGGGAGAAGCAACTATTTTCAGTTGCCTGGACTGCCAACAAGGGTACTGGCAAGTGAAAGTGGCGGCCGAGGATCGACCGAAGACAGCATTCCGATGCTTCCTGGGCTTGTTCCAGTTCCTTAAATTGCCGTTCGGCCTCAAGGGAGCACCTGCGACGTACCAGCGCCTGATGTCCCACGTCCTGTCGGGCTACACAGGAAAGTTCTGCCACTGCTTCATCGACGACATTATTTGCTATTCGAAGAACTTTGAAGAACACCTAGAGCACCTGAAGCTGATCTTCGGCAGACTGAGCGAAGCTGGCATCAAACTGAAGCCCTCCAAGTGCGCCTTCGCCAAAGAGAGCGTCACCTACTTGGGCCACCGGATCTCCGTAGGAGAGCTCCGCCCCGACCCTGACAATGTGGAAAAGATCCGCAACCTGCCGCCTCCAACAACACGCCGAGAGGTACGCTCCTTCATCGGGATGGCTTCCTACTACCGCTGCTTCGTCCCAGACTTCAGCAGGAGGGCAAAACCACTCACGGACCTCACAAAAACAACCGTGCCCTTCGAATGGGGAAAGAAACAGGAGGACGCCTTCGCCGACCTGAAGCAGGTTCTCACCCAAGAACCAGTGCTCGCCCTCCCAGACTTCTCACAGCCATTCATCTTGATGACCGACGGGAGCTCGACCGGACTGGGGGCAATCCTAGGCCAAAAGAAGGAGAGTGAGAAGAAAGAGAGGGTCATCGGGTACGCATCTCGGCGTACCACCGCCAATGAAGAAAAGTTCTCGGCCTGTGAACTCGAGTGCCTGGCTCTCGTATGGGCTGTCCAGCACTTCCGAACCTACATCCTCGGGAGAAAGACCACGGTGGCCACCGATCACTGGGCACTCAAATGGTTGCTGGATATGAAGAACGGGAACCCACGTCTTCAGCGATGGAAGATGGCTCTCCAGGAGTACGACTTGGACATCATCCACAAGCCAGGGAGCATGCATCGGAATGTCGATTTCCTGTCCAGGATGTACCAGGAAGAGACCGACGAAAAACAAGAAGAACTCTGCTATTCCAACGCAACGGCTGAAACACACTCTGCCAAGGAGGACAGGACAATGCCCTCAAGGGATCAGGACCTCAGTGCACCCAAGAGCAGACGAGTGGTCTCAGAGAGTGACCGCAGGCCGGTGGAAATCCAAGAAGACACGCCATCAAGGCCAACAATGGGGACGGAAGGCGAAGAAACATCACGCGCAACACCAGGAGGCGACATCCAGCCCCTCAGAAGATCTGAGAAGAGAAGGAACAGCCTCGTCCGGGACCGAGACATCAACAGCATACAGACCGAACAAACCTCGGGAAGAGAAGCGACTAACATCAAAACAGCATCGGAAAGCCTCGGGAGACAACTGCTGAAACAAGAGCAACAGCAAGACCCCGACTGTTCCGAAATCAGGGACGCCATCAACAACCAACGACCCCTACCGAAATGGGTGGAAAAGGACACAATTCGAATCGCCACCGACGGAGTGCTGGAAAAGATCGACAGAGATGCAATCGGAACAGAAACATGCAAGCCTCTACTCCCGGCCCGTCTCGCAAAGACAGCGGTAGCAGATGCTCACGCCGGGCATCTCAAGCTTACGAAAACGCTCGCCAAATTGAGGGAAAAGTATCATTTCAAGCACATGCACGCCCAGTGTACCAAGTACATTGCAGGATGTCAAACATGCCAAGAGAAAGACCGAGGCAGGAAAATCAAAGCCCCGTTGGGTATGCTCCCAAAGCCCTGGGGAGCCTGGCACACCATCGCCGTGGACGTCCTCGGACCCCTGCCCCAGACAAGGGCCGGAAACAAGTACGTGATCATCGTCACCGACTACCTCACCCGGTACGTCCTCGCTTTAGCTGTGAAGGACCAAACAGCAGAGACCACAGCGGAAGCGCTCATGCAGAAATTCCTCGAGTACGGTTTTCCGGCGAAACTGATCACCGACAACGGGCCAAACTTTAGAGCAAAGCTGATGCAGCAGCTATGCTCGCTCCTGGAGATCACCCACCTCTTCACCACCCCGTACCACCCACAGTTCGACGGTCTCTGTGAGAGATTCAACCGAACGTTGGCCTCGATGCTTCGGGCATTCGTACAAGAACATCAGCGAGACTGGGACGTCCACCTGCCCTACGTCATGTACGCATACCGAACGGCGGTGCAGGAGAGCACCAAGGAGACACCATTCTTCCTCATGTTCGGACGACAATCACGGGAACCGCTAGATCTGCTCCTCCGATCAGAAGAGGATCCAGACAATCTAGCACTGACGAGCAAACCGGCAATGGTGGTCAGGATGCACGCTGCTTTTGAACGGGTCCAAGCACAGCTACAAGAAGCTCACACGAGACAGAAGCAGTATCATGACCGCGGCTGCAAGGACCGGAACTTCGACGTCGGGGACGAGGTGATGCTGTTGGACGAGAGAGTTCCGGTTGGACAAACCAAGAAACTACACCCACCCTGGAAGCCCGGATACAGAATTCTGGAGAAAGTCGGGCCTCTCAACTACAAAATCGAACACCCCAATCGACGTGGGAAGATCCTGAGAGTCCACCTCGACCGACTGAAGCTGCAAAAGCCAGTTCACATTTGGCCGTGTGAAGACGAAGATACACCCGGAGGCCAGGCCTCACAGGCCACAGCAACAGGCCCCTCCCCTCTGGAAACCTGGCGGCGGGAGAAGAAGGGCTACCGACCATTCCCGGAACACTGGTCGGGTCTAGAAGACACCGAGACGGAAGAGCAAGACGAGAACAACGAAGGAGCAGAAGCCTTCCACACTCCTCTCGCGTCACCAACGGCAACAACTACCTCTCCAGCTGCATCAGACGTCGATCTAGTACCACCAGCCCAGGAGAACACAAGTGGGCCAAGGGAAAGCACGCACCAGGGTCCTCCAACCTCTCGGTCATCCCAAGAAACAGTCGGTTGCAGCCCCGCCCAAAGAACAGAGCACGGCCCGACAACACCGCAAGACGAGGTCCCACTGGTCAACACGGCGCGCCATCCCATCTCGCTAGAGGAGGACCACAACGCTCCTAAACCTCCCCAGCAAGAGACCCTACAAGATGGACCACCTGACCAACCAGCGCTTAGAAGATCTGAAAGGATTCGAGCTCGTGACGAACACCGAATGGACGGGGAGGCCAGAGACGAACCAGGAGGAGCCAGTGGAGGGATGGTGGCTGACCACACCCACAATGCCCATACCACGACCGAACCCAATCCACCACCACAGCTCAGGGTCGACCCCACTCACAATCTCGAGGACAGCTCTGATAGCGGTATACCTCGGACGGGGACACCACGGCAGGGAAGGGCCAGCCTCCGCGCCACATTAGATGAAAACCGGGGGAGCCTCATCAACCTACCAACCCAGAACACGACGGGGCCGGACAACCAGACCTCGGGAAATTCCCATAATTCGACGCTCGGAACGGATCAGAGAAAGAAACGCGCGACGAAACGAAGATGAGAGTGCTTAACAACCTCTCCATTGTTGCAGGATCGACAAGATGAAGCCACGACAGATCATCAACATGGGAACTTGGCTGCTCATCATCTGGATGTGTCTCGACACCTCCAACTCGCTGCAGGAGCCGGGAGACGGCACCGAAGAACGCGAAAGAGTTATTCCGGGCCTGCACAGCGGGCTGCTGTTCCAACCAAGGGGACCTCTGTTGCTGGCCACCGGTGTCTGGACGGCAGTGGTGAGGTTCCACCACAAAGATGTACACGACCAGGCACATATCTGCGGAAACAATTTCAAGACATCACCAAAACCCTAACAGACTTACTCGATCAAGCCGCAAATTTCCCTAATCCGCACGGGACGCGCGAAGAAGAAATCAGAAAGACCGAATTCCTTAAAGGAGTAATGGAAACCTGGAAACACGAGAAGATATGGATGGAAGCCGAGGTAGAAGCCGCCGAGCAGGAAATCCTGGAACTTCGCAGCGAACTAAGACTCAGCCGGAGGGAGCGAGCCCTGATACCATTCCTTGGAGATAGTCTGAAGTGGCTTTTTGGCACATCCACGGAGAAAGACACCCAAAGGATTCATCACGAAGTGAAGAAGGTAGAAGCCAAGGTGGGACAGTTACATCACATCGTTGGGCTACAAACAACTCTGATCGGTACACTATCAAAGGACCAAAGGACGAACAGGCAAAATATTGCTCGGCTGGCGGAGAAGACCGCGACCCTGGAAGTCACTTTAGTTGCAGCCCGTGAAGCCAGACATAACATCCGGAACGAGATCGACCTCACACAGCTTGTTTCTTCAGCGATTAGAACAGCCGGCGCAGCAGTGATGGCCTTCCGCCATGAGGTACAGAAAATCGTGCTAGCCATGGCGCACACCCAGCAAGGAAAGGTCACCCCAACCATACTACACCCCAAGAGCTTGAGGGCCATTCTGATAGATATCAAACAACACCTTCCGACCGGATGGACCACCGCAGTGACCCTTACAGACACACCAGCGGAAATCTACAACGTACTCGACATTGCAGCGATTGCTTCTAGTGATGGATGGGAGGTACACGTCCAAATTCCCCTGAAAAGCCAGAACTACGGTGACTTTTTCATGTACCATGTCACATCCATACCGACTCACTTTATGAACTCGACAATAGCTCTGCAGACGGATGTTGGCGCGGAGTTTTTCGCCATTTCAAACGACCAGCGACTTCACATTGAAATCACCCAAGAAGACGAACAATGCAAAACGACCACCAAGAAGACAATTTGCCAGCGATTCGCACCCCTCATCAGAGAAACACGCAAGGGATGCCTATACCATGCATTTAGAGACGACCGTGCAGCAGCTGACCAAGACTGTACCCGGAGGATCGTCCGGACGAAACCCCAAGTTTACTCGCTGTCAGACCACCAGTGGCTCTACGCCCTCCCTCAAGAGGAACTTTTCGCCATGCAATGCGCCAAAGACAATGAGCCTTCCAAAGGATTCAGACTTCAGGGCACCGGAGTTTTTCCCTGCCACCCGGATGTGCGGCGATAGGAGACCAGTATATCATACCGGCCCATCTGAGAGGAGAGGCACAAGCCAGGGACTTTGACCTAGATGACCTGACACACTTCAAGTTGAACCTGAACGTCTCAGCAATCTTCAAGCGTCTTCCGGCTACAAAGGATCTCGACCAAACTGTCCTGGAACAGATAATTGACACCATGCCAGCGTCCGACGAAGAGGCTCCTAAACTGTCCGAGTTGAAAAGGAAAATGGCCGAGTGGGACCAGAAGCCGACCAGTGACGTCCGCGAAGTCTCAGTGATTGGCCACACTTCAATCTCCATTGGAACACTGGGAGTGGTTGGAGTGGTGATCCTCGCCATCTTCCTATGCCGCAGAAATGTCACACCCAACAGCACACACGTCATCCAAAGCCCTCCGACAGTATCCGCCCCAATCAATTCCGAAAGCCCGAACTCAGCCATTTTCGCTGCAGACACGAATGAGTTCCCTGGAACGGGCAATGGCCGAAGCAAAAGAAGAAGCCTCAAAGGTCGCTACGGTACAGAAACAAATTCGGGAGCTACAAGAAAAGTGCGAAGAGCTGCTGTAATCGGCAAGAACGAAATATCCTATCCAAAGGACCAATCCTCAAAAGGTAACTTCCTTTCAGCCATCCTACCCATTCCAAGGGTCATGCACAGGACCCAAGTGATCCATTCCTTCCCCCCAGCGATTCCCAAAACCCCACGTTTTTTCAGGAACCAGATGACAACGTCGCCACCAAGGAGGAGGAGGAGGAGGCAAGGGCGTTCCACAAACGCCCAGGGCCCAGCGTCAAGGGCTCGAGCTACACGACTACGCCAGCTGAACCGGAATGGACCCAACCGACCGAAGGGCCTCGCCAGGCGACGAACTGGAGGCAAGGCCCAGGATTCCGCACCCAAGTTGCCACAGGCGAGCCACGCTGGACTTCGGGCAAAAGTGTGGGGGTGATGTACAGATGATGATGCGCGCGCGGTGTGTGTGATAGGTTTAAGGTGAAGGGCGCCTACCGCCTGAGAAGGCAACAGGTGTGTAGTGTGTACCGACCGGCCGACCTGTCGGGACTCTACCTAGAAATGTGGGGAAACGTTCGGGGAATAGGGGCGGGGGCGTATATCATGTAAGCTAGGTTAAGGTAAGGGGTGGCAAGGGTTTGGCCTCAAGGGAAATTCACATCCAGTCCAGTCACAACGTCCAGTCACTAGAAGACCCCAGAGCCACTCACCCTATCGTCCAAAACCAAAACCCACCCATCCCGCTTCTTAATGGTCACAGCAGGCGTCGCCGCCCAAGACATCGAGGGAACATGCGGATCTGCAAGTCACAAGGCCTCCGGACCTTCGTACAAGACACTCCACTTCAATTGTGAGGGCACAATTAAAAGAAGAAGCCTGAAAATGTAACAGCTGAATGCTGTGACATTTTTTTTTCTCATCAAAATCTTACATTTTTCATACATAAACCGCCTCACATAGTACCCTGTCTGCCGGGACGCCAGGGCAAGGATGAGAGGGTCACACCTACCGAGCAGCTGCGCCATCGAGCCGGCTAATGCCGCAAGATCAAACGCTCGCCGACGGTAGGGCAAACAAACTCCATCCGACGCCGAGCCAGTCCGAGACACGCCGGCGCCTCGACATCCTTGGGAAAACCGGGGCCGGGCCAGCTGCGTCCGGTGCAGCCAAGGACCGAACCCGGCGGAAATCGAGTGTGAAAACGTCACATCCGACCGTCGGCAAGGGGCCGACTCCAGCGGAAACGGCGGAGGAGGGGAGGAACCCGAAGCTTCGGCCACGCCGGACTGTTCCTCTCGAAGCCCCGGTCAGGGGCTGCCGCCGGAGATCAGCCAGGAAAGGACCGATTAACTGTCCCGGTCACAGAAATCGACCCCCGCCGGAACCGGATAACCAAAGGAATAAAATCGGACCGCAGAAGAGGAGAGGGAACAGAACCCGGGGAGTCTCTGCCGGCTGGACCAGTGCTCTCTCCCTCTGACTCTCTCGTGCAACACTCATCAAGAACAAGACCAATCTCCATCTTCGACGCCGCCAAAAATCAAGTGAGTCATCGCAGAAGGCTGCCTGCCACTCCCAGCCCTCAGCCATGCCCACCACACACGCATTCTCTCCCTTCCCCCATATCTACCGGGCGTCTACCCAGTCTAGACCTACGTCCCGTAGGGTCAGGCCTGCCACCATTAGCAGATAGGGACAGCTGCGGGGTGAATGATGGGAATCGGGGGCGGCAGTGCGGCAATGGTCCTTTACATTTGTGTCGGAGCCGGGACATTGCCAACCATTACATGCGACCGCCAGGGCCGGGGGTAGGATCGTGGGAGGGTAGGAAAGTTTAGGCGCAGGAGGGAAGAGGGTCAGCGTGATGTTCACTGTATCCGGGTCTCGCCCTGCCAGCGAGTGGCGAGGGCTCACGTGACAACTATGTATCGGAACGGGACCATTTAATGGCTATTTCTGCCCTTGTACCCGGTCGAGATGGT